GTTGCCCAAGAAGACACCAGAAAAGAACCTTACCCGATAGACCACAGCCTCATGGCAATACCGCAGATGAATAGAAATTTGTTAATTTAAGGTGTAAGATCTAGTTATTAAGAAGTCTTAGCTAAACCAGGCGGTGGTGGTGCACGCCTTTAATCCCAGCACTCGGGAGGCAGAGCAGGCAGATCTCTGTAAATTCGAGGCCAGCCTGGTCTACAAGAACTAGTTTCAGGACAGGCTCCAAAGCAACAGAGAAACCCTGTCTCAAGAAAACAAAACAAAACAAAACAAAAACAAAAACAAAAAACCCCCGAGCTTCTGAGCTTATTATAGGCCAGTGTTGCGATTAATATAGTTTCTGTGATTATTCAGGAACGAAAGAGCAGCCTCCGTTTACATAAAATGGTAGAGGTAACCACCTAAACCACAACATAGGGGCTAGGAAGACGACTCAACGGGTAGAATCTTTCTGTGAAAGTGTGGCGATCTGAGCGGCATTCCCAGAAGCCACATAAAGGTGACAAGCAAGAGGAGGCTCCACAAAGTTGTCTTCTGACCTCCACACACAGGCTCTGTCAGAAGCTTTATCACTCACACACAACAATAATTAATAAACAGAATAAGTGAATGAATGACTGGAAAGAAATGGCTGGTGTTATGAGTAGTCAGATCTCTGGGCTTGACTCACTTGTATTTGGTGTTTCACCTCTCTGAACAGTTGCTTCTCTCCTGGTGCTGGAGCCCCTACTCCCAAGGAGTGGGAAAACCAGGCTTCCCTGTTCTTACCCCCCCATCCCATTCTGCTATCCCGTTGTTGTGGGGCACAGGGATAGAAGCAGGAAAGTGGTAAGGAGTCGGCAGTAGCCGCTCCAGACGGTGGAGGAAAGCTATTCCAGCAGAATGCACTGCTCTCGTCGAGGACCTGGGTTCAGTGTCTGGTGCCCACATGGTGGCTCCTGACCCTCCGTAACTTCAGTGTCGGCAATCCGGTATCCTCTCTGGCCTCCCTGGGCACATGGTGCACAAACGTACATTCAGACAAAATAACCAGACAGATATCAAAAGTGAAAAATAGAAAATGCTGCTCCTGTCTGCAGGTACTGCCTGGCTTTCTGGCCACCTTTACAGATCAGCTCCAACTTCAGCTCAAGCAAAGGGCAGCGCCTCTGCTTTGACTGCTAGCTTTTCTTCCACTTGGCGGCACACACAGACCCATCCTATTGGGCTCCCTTGGTAGGGTCCATTCATTTTCACCCTAGAGCCAGTCAGTTCTCACTGCTAGGCCCATCCTCCATGGAGGTCATCTGCACTGCTGACCCCCTGGGCCACCACCACAGCAGCAGCCTCTTGAGTCTCCTTGAAGCATTCAGTACTGGATCTGGAATTAGCAGACAATTCAGCAGGGCATGTGACACATACCATTAGCCCAGCACTCCACAGAGGCAGGCAGATCTCTGAGTTCAAGACCAGCCTGGTCTACAGAGTGAGTTCTGGGCCAGTCAGGGCTACACAGAGAAACCCTGGCTGGGAAAATCATTAAAAAAAAAAAAAGAAGAGGAGGAGGAAGAAAACGGAGACAATGGTTCACTAGTGCAGGGCAGACCTAGGATCTCAGCAGGATACCATTTCTTTCCAAATCAATGTTGTTACCAACTTACTCCCTCAAAATCCACCACAGGGGACTGGCAAAATGACTCAGCAGGCAAAGGTGTCTGCCACCAAACCTGATGACCTAAGTTTAACTGCCAGATCTGCACGGTGGAAGGGGAGAGGTGACTGCTTCTGTAAGTCCTCTATGTTCACGTGTGTCCCAGGGCACACACCCCGCCCTACATACACAATCATATAAAAATAAATAAATCTACCCTTGGAGCTGGGGGCATGTTTTAGTAGGTAGGATGTTTGCCTAGAATGTATAAAACTGTGGGTTCAATGTTCAGCACCGAATAAATGAGGCGTTGTGGTGCACATCTGTAAGCTGGAGCAGAGAGGTAGAGGCAAGTTCAGAAGTTCAAGTTTATCATTGTCGGTGTAAGAAGTTCAAAGCTAGCCAGGAAGATATGAGACCCTTTCTGGGAGGAAGGAAGGAAGGAAAAGGAAAGGAAGAAAAGTTCAACTTTAATTTGTTTATATTTCTGACAAGGACAAGGACTTCAAAAGGGGCAAAATGTGGGTCACACTGACAGGACTGAAGAGACAGCTCAGAGGATAAGAACACTGACTGCTCTTCTAGAGTACTGGGCACAAAATAATACAAACTTCAATTGTTCCAAAACCAATGAAGAAAGTTATAGGCTAAGACTCCACCCAGACACGGCCATACTGGCCGGACTCGGTGATGCTGGCTGGTAATCTCAGTACTCAGGAAGGGAGTGGGAAGAACAAGTTCAAAGCTATCCTCAGGGGCTGGAGAGATGGCTCAGTGGTTAAGAGCATTGCCTGCTCTTCCAAAGGTCCTGAGTTCAATTCCCGGCAACCACATGGTGGCTCACAACCATCTGTAATGGGGTCTGGTGCCCTCTTCTGGCCAGCAGGCATACACAGACAGAATGTTGTATACATAACAAATAAATAAATAAATACATATTTTAAAAAAAAAGCTATCCTCAGCTACACGTAGAGCATGAGGCCAGACTGGGCTATACAGGACACTGCTTAAAGAAACAAACAAAAATCTCCTACAAAACAGTAAGAAAAAGACAAAAAACTCAGGGGGGGGGCTGTGGCTGTGCTCAGGGCTGAGTGTGCACTCAGTGGGAGGGCTGTGGCTGGGCTCAGGGGCTGAGTGAGTGTGCACTCAGTGGGAGAGCTGTGGTTGTGCTCAGGGCTGAGTGTGCACTCAGTGGGAGGGCTGTGGCTGTGCTCAGGGTTGAGTGTGCACTCAGTGGGAGGGCTGTGGCTGGGCTCAGGGCTGAGTGTGTACTCAGTGGGGGGGCTGTGGTTGTGCTCAGGATTGAGTGAGTGTGCACTCAGTGGGGGGGCTGTGGCTGTGCTCAGGGCTGAGTGTGCACTTAGGATTCATGAGGCTTTGTGTTCCAATCCTAAAACCAAATAAAAAGGGGGATGAAGCTGCAGTGATGCCTCAGTGGCTACCCAGTCATAAGAACCTGAGTTAGATTCCCAGCATCCACATAGAGAAAGCTGAGAATTTGGGGGCATGGTAGCACAAGACTTTAATCCCAGTGCTATTGAAGCAGAGGCAGACAGAACTTTGTGTGTTCAAGGAGAGCCTGGTCTACATAGTGACTTTTAACCAGCTAGGGCTACATGTGAGACACTGCCTAAGATAAAATAAATATAAACAAAAAAACAAAATCCATAGAAAAATAAAAACAAAAGCAAAGCACATATACATACAGGCACACCCAGAAAATCTAAGATCAAAGCACAGCCATTCTCAGCTCTGACTTGCTGCCTCTGGAGGGCATGCTATCCAGTGGACTGGCTCAGCCAGAGGCTTGGAGAGCAGAGTAATTGTATAAGATCTCATGTGTAAATGGAGACCATTCATTCTTTTCTCGGCTGCCCAGACCCAAATAATCTTAGTGTCCTCATTGTTGTCTAAGTTCTCTGGGATTGTGGTTTATAGGCTGGTTTTCCTCGCTTTATGTTTAAACCACCTATGAGTGAGTACGTGTGATAACTGTCTTCCTGTGTCTGGGTTACCTCACTCAAAATGATGTTTTCTAGTTCCATCCATTTTTTCTGCAAAATTCAAGCTGTCATCATTTTTTTCTGCTGTGTAGTAGTCCATTGTGTAAATGTACCACATTTTCCTTATCCATTCTTCAGTCGAGGGGCATTTAGGTTGTTTCCAGGTTCTGGTTATGACAAACAAAGCTGCTATGAACATAGTTAAGCACATGTCCTGTGGCAAGATTGAGCATCCTTTGGAATATGTACCCAAAAGTGGTATTATTGAGTCTTGAGGAAGGTTGTTTCCTAATTTTCTGAGAAATCGCCACACTGACATCCAAAGGGGTTGTACCAGCTTGCATTCCCGCCAGCAATGCAGAAGTGTTCCCTTTTCCCCACAACCTCTCCAGCATAAGTTGTCATCAGTGATTTTGATCTTGGCCATTCTTACAGGTGTAAGATGGAATCTCAGAGTTGTTTTGATTTGTATTTCTCTGATGATTAAGGATGTTGAACATTTTACTTAAGTGTCTTTCAGCCATTTTAGATTCCTCTGTTGAGAGTTCTCTGTTTAGGTCTGTACTCCATTTTTTTATTGGATTATGTGTTCTTTTGGTGTCCAATTTCTTGAGTTCTTTGTATATTTTGGAGATCAGCCCTCTGTCTGATGTGGGGTTAGTGAAGATCTTTTCCTATTCTGTAGGCTGTTGTTTTGTCTTGTTGACTGTGTCCTCTAGCTAACTTTTATGTCTTAAATTAACCCATTTCTATTAATCTGCGTATCGCCACAAGGCTGTGGCTTACCAGAAAGGCTCTGGTGGCGTCTCTCTCCTTTGGCAGCTACATGGCATCTCCCTGACTCCATCTACTCTCTCTATATATCTGTTTGGATTTCCCACCTGGCTTTATTCTGCCCTGCCATAGGCTGAGGCCGCTTCTTTATTAACCAATGGTAATAAAACATATTCACAGCATACAGAGGGGAATCCTACATCACTGATGAGGCTCAACCAAGCTGAAGGCAGGCTGAGGAACATGACATGCCTCACGTATCAACTGTGTAGACATCTTCACAGGACTTGAGGGCCCTTTGAGATGACAAGTTCTGATGTTCCTTTCACAACAGATAGGCAAGCATAGGCCTAAAGAGGTAGGGAGCTTACACCAGCCCAGGAGGCAGAGGCAGAGTGCAGGGTCCTGTTGAACGCCATCTCTGGAAGGAAGTCAGCATCATACATCCTGGCTGACCCCTACCTAGTACTCTTGCTAGAGTCATTCAGACTGGTCATAGCCTGGTTGTCATGGAGATGGCAGAGAGGGCAGTTCCAGAGCTGGCAGATGGACGTGGGAGACGGCAGGGTACCAATATGCTAAACCCTGACCAATTGCTGACCAGGACCATATCGGAGAGACCAAAGCAGAGCACAGAGCCCTTGGCTCCAGGGACGGCCACAGGGTTGTTCAAACTTCTATCAAGCATCTCCCCGGAGGAACAGGTGAGGGAGGCAGGCCCAGCTGGGGAACTTCCAACTGCTCAGCAGCATCTTCGGCCAAGAGAAGCTAGGGCTGCCTGAGGTCTCGAGGAAACATAAAACTAGAGCTAAGATTCTGGTAACAGTTAGGAAAGCCTGGGGCAGGTACACAGAGGACAGACAGATGGAGCAATTTGGGAACATGGCAGAACAGAAAGGGCTTTTAGGAAATAAATCACTTTCTTCCACTTTTGTTGCACTAAGTCCAGAGCCCTGTGTGACAGCCAAAAAAATGCTAGCCTTGGCTGTTGTTGTTTTGTTTGGGAGGTGGTGGTGGAGGATTTGTTTGTTTGGTGGGCTCCCACCAAATTATCTGGGCTGTCCTAGACCTCACAAGCCTCCCATCTCAGTTTCCTGGTATCTGGGGTTACAGGCATGTGTCATCACACCCAGACAGTTTCCTAGATTTAAAGAAGACATGCTGGTGCAGCCTAAGCCTGTCATTCCAGCACTTGGGAGGTGAAGGCCCGAGAAGCAGTAGTCAGAGTTACCCTCCGCCATGCAGGGGTGGCACATGCCTGCTAATGCCCGCACTCAGGAGACAGAGGCAGGTAGATCGCTGTGAAAGCGAGGTTAGCCTGGTCTACAGAGCGAGTTCCAGGACAGCCAGGACTACAGGGAGAGAAACTGTCTCAAACAACAAAACAAAACAAAAGCTATCCTTAGCTACACAGTGAGTTTGAGACCATCCTTAGCCCCTATCTCAACAAAATAGCAAAAACTAACAACAACAATATAAGATCTATTGATGGGGATCAGTATGATAACCCTATATACACAATAATTAAGTCAGGTAAATTATTATCTCTGTGCTGGGAACATTTGGACGCTTCTCTCACAGCAGAGTTCAATGGTGACAAATTTGGGATTTGGAAACAGTGACAACATGTATTGGTCCCAGCCCCACCACTCACCAGTCATGTGGTCTCTCCTCTTGGAAGTGCAAGAGCCTAACTCTGCCTGCAAATGGGTAATAGCAAGCCCCACTTCCTTGGGTGTTTTTGGAAAGGTCAAATGTGTAACTCCCTAAAGGTGTGGTGCCTTAGCAGCTACAGCTTTTTATTTTATTTGCGCGCACGTGTGTATGTATGTGTGTGTGTGTATGTGTGTGTGTGTGTGTGTGTGTGCAAGTGGAGGTCGGAGAACAACAGGTAGGTGTTGGTTCCCTCCTATCACATGGGTCTCAGGGATCAAACTTGTCAGGCGTAGTGACAATTGCCTTTACCTTGTGAGTCACCTCCCCAGCTTTGTCTGCAGCTTTTGCTATTTTAACAGAAGAGGCAGTGAGTTTTAGGGACAGCATGGAAAGGAGGAAGCCCCTGGGGAGGTGCAGAGTGGTACAGAAGCTGTCCTCTCCCCGGTCCTGCCCAGGCAAGTCTTGGAAGTGGCGATAGCCTTCAGAGTCAGAGCTGCCAGCTGCAGAGGTCTCAGAGTGCAGGGCAGAGGACAAAGAAAGAACGCAAGACCCGGAGGCGGAACAAGAAAGGACAAGGCTCAGCTGAGGCCGAGGAGTAAGTGACTGGGGATGGACTGGGGTGGGGGTGTGTGTGGATGGACTAGGGACCCTCACTGACTTCTGTCCTCTCCTTCAGTCTGTTCAGTTCACCTGCTCGGAAACCTTCCTTTCCTTTCCAGTGGGCCTGGGAGAGCTTCATCATAGATGGTCAGGCTCTGCTTCAGCCAAGCTCCTGCGTGGCCCATGGCTACCGAGCCCTGCTTTTGCCCCCAGCTGGGCTCCAGCTCAAGTCCAGGCGCAAGTCAGTAAGCAGCCTCTCAGAAGACCTTGGCTTCTGCCAGAAGACAGAAGTACAAAACCTGGAGAGGAGAAATCAGATAGGGGCCTGGGGCAGCAATACCCTCCCTCTTGGCAAAGCAGAGAGCCAAGGGCTGGAGCGAAGCAGCCAGGGTGGCTTCTGGCCACCAGGAAAAGGGTCAGGGTCAGAATGTGAGGATGCCTCGGAGGTGGAAGGCCAGGATACAGAGGAGACAGAGAAGATTCTGAGCCCTGGGGAACTGCCCCAGCTCCTGGGGCGGGGCTTGATCTCGGAGGAGGAGTGGATCTCAGAGGTGACCGAGGAGGGGGAGGAACACAGCGCCCCCCACAGGAGGAAAGGCAGCTCTCATAATAAGGGGAGGAATTCTGGAGAAAAGGCTTCGGAAGGGGAGCTGCAGGGCCACAGCCAGGGAAGCAGCTCCAGCTCCAACGGCCTCCGAAAGCTGCAGAAGAAGTCAAGGGCCAAGGACCTGAGGGGGCCCTGGGACCTAGAGCGGCTACACCGGCAGTTACAGGAGGAATTGGATTGTGGTGAGCGCAGCCAGGAGGCTTGAGGTGCCTGGAAGCTGTGGGAGACCGGCACTCGGAAGGTTGGGGTGGTGGTAGGGATAGGTAGTAGAGGCTGGGGTGAGCTAGGGATTGTCTGGTTGCTGGATAGGACTCCCAGTGACCCAGGAGACGACGTGATCTTGATTTGATTTCCCCATTCACAGGTCCTCAAAAGCAGACCTGGAACGCATTGCGGGCAGCTGTCCAGGCCTCTACCAGGGGTAGGAGGACCCCTATCTTGGGAGATGATGAAAGTTACTTATCTACCAACTTCCCCAATCGCACCTTCCATAAACGGCAGGAGGCCACCAGGTGAGAGAAAAGAGGAAGGAGAGCAAGAACTGAGGGCGAGGGTAGGAAGAGACCAGTTTTACATGTGAGTCTCTTCCTAGTTCACCCATTCACCAGGTTTCCTGATCATCCACCCAGCCTTCTCTTGATAATGTCCATCTGTCTCCTTGTCCTACTGCATTGACACACGCCACTTTTCAGCCTTTCTTTTCTCCTATCCATCCGACAGCCTATATTTTTTTTAAAAAGATTTATTTATTATATATACAGTGTTCTGCCTGCGGGTCAGAAGAGGGCACTAGGTCTTATTACAGATAGTTGTGAGCCCCCATGTGGTTGCTGGGAATTGAACTCAGGACTTCTGGAAAAGCAGCCAGTGCTCTTAACCTCTGGGCCATCTCTCCAGCCCCATCCTTCAGCCTATTGATGTAACATATATTGTCTTCTTGTGAGTCCTCAGGACAGGAGGGAGGGAAGACTTGGGCCAGTCTCAAGTCCAAGGTCTACAAAAGAAGATGGATGGCCAATGTGTTTAGTTCCAGTTGCTACACTTGGGCTAGAACAAGAGACTACCGGCTCAGAGAAGCCTGGAGGCAACTGTTGGCCAAGGGATGATGAGGGCCAGAACCATGTGCTGGTGTGGATGGAGAGAAGAGGACCCACTCCAGAGTTCTATAGAAACCTAGTTTGTGTGTGTTGAGGGGTAGGGTCTCGAGAATGCTAGGCTCTACTATTGAGCTATATCATCAGTCATGAAATCTAAAAAAAATTATTATATTTTGTCTGTTGTCTACATGTGCAGGCATATGGAGGTCAGAAGATAACTTGAGGGACTTAGCTCTCTCCTTCCACCATGTGAGCCTGGGGGATTGAATTTACGTTGTCAGGATTGGCAGCAAGTTCCTGACCTGAGCCATCTTGCTGCCCAGCCCTGAGATTCTTAGACCCTGACTTAGTGGGCCTTGGGGACCGATTAGAAGTGGCATGTGAGGTCCCTCTGTTTCTCTTTCTCTCTCTCTGCCTCTCTGCTCTTTTCCCTTCTCCCCTTCCCCTTCCCCTCTATAACTAAATAAATATCCAAACTCATTCTGAAAAAAAAAAAAGAAGTGACATGTGAGGTTGGGGAAAATTCAAATTCATATTCTCAGCATTTTTTTTTTCTGATGAGAGGAAGTATTGAAGCCCAGTCTCATGTAGCTCAGGCTGGCCTTGAATTTATCATGCAGCTAGAGCTACCTTGAATTTCTGATCCTTCTGGATCCTTCTGCCTTTGTCTTGGTGCTGGGATTACAGATCTACACCACCACCCTTGGTCATCAGAGTCTCAGAGTACCCTAATAACCCTTTCTTACAGATTTACTCTTTGTTAGTTTAAAATTATGTGTATGTATGGCTACATCAAACTAATTAAAATGTGTATTAGCATACATATTTTCTAAAATGAACACTTAAAATTTAATCTCTTAGCGATTTTCAAATCCACCGTAAATCTTGTGAAAAATCATAACCACTATATTGTAGATTTGTTTCTCTGTGTAGCCCTGGCTGTCCTGGAACTCATTCTGTAGACCACACTGGCTTCAGACTCTGTCTCTCAAGTGCTGAGATTAAAGTGTGTGCCATCACACCTGGCTGGTTTGTTTTTATACTTTTTTAAGAATTATTTTTTATGGCTGATGAGATGACTCAGCAGTTAGTTCAATTCCCAGCAACCACATGGCTGACAACCATTTGTAATGAGCTCTGGTGGCCTCTTCTGGTCTGTAAGCATACATGAAGGCAGAACACGCTATACATAATAAATAAATCTTAAAAAATATTTTAAAAAATTATTCTTTAGTGCCAGGTGGTAGCAGCGCACACTTTTAATCCCAGCACTCAGGAGGCAGAGGCAGGCGGATCTCTGTGAGTTCGAGGCCAGCCTGGTCTACAGAGTGAGTTCTAGGACAGGCTCCAAAGCTACACAGAGAAACCCTGTCCAGAAAAACAAAACAAAAATTATTTTTAAGGGGCTGGAAAGATGGCTCAGCGGTTAAGAGCACTGGCTGTTCTTCCAAAGGACCCGGGTTTAATTCCCAGCACCCACGTGACAGCTAACAACTGTCTGTAACTCTAGTTTCAGGATCTGATACCATCACACCAATCCACATAAAAGAAAGTTAAATAAATTAAAAAAAAAACCACAAAGATTTTGTAGTATTTTTTTAAAAAATATTTCTATTTCTAAATTAATTTTTATTTATTTTATTGATTTTTATTGTGCTCTACAATTTATTTTTATTTTATGTGTGTGGGTATTTTGACTGCATGTATGTCTGTGTACCACATACATGTCTGGTGCATGTACCATGAATGTGCTTCATGCACAGGAAGGCCTGAAGAGGGCACTGGATCTTCTGGGACTGGAGTTGGTTATTAAGTAGCTAGCGTGTGGGTGCTAGGAATTGAACCTACCTCTTCTGTTACCTACTGCGCAATCTCCCCAGCCCTAAGATTTATTTATTTCATGTGAATGAGTGTTGTGGATGGCTGTGAGCGGGGCCCCTGGAAGAGAAGCCAGTGCTCTACCACTCCCACCCCCTGTACTATTTTTGTATTCCCACCTACTGTAGACCCCTGCTGACAGTGACGCTCTTTTGTCAGATGTTTTGTTTGAAGGAAGTCTTGCCATTTAGGCACAAACTGCCATGTCTGGTACTAGCTATGTATTCCAAAGGGCATTGAACTCGCTGTAATTCTCCTGCTGCAGCCTCCTGTGTTCTAGCATTATAGGTGTATATCACAATGCTTGACCTTTTTTTATTTACTGTTTTTAAATTTATTTTGTGTGAGTGTAGGCATGTGTGGATAGTGGCAGTACCTGGTTCCCTGGTTCTCTCCTACCACTCTGAGGCAGGATCATTCTCTTCTTTTCTTCCTTCCTTCCTTCCTTTCTTTTTTTCTTATTTTGGTTTTCTGAGACAAGGTTTCTCTGTGTAGTCCTGTCTGTCCTAGAACTTGCTCTGTAGACCAGGCTGGCTTCAGATTAGAGATCCTCCTGTCTGTGCCTCCCGAGTGCTGGGATTAAAAGTGTGACCCACCACCGCCTGGCAGTTAATGGTTTCTTATCAAACCAGGACACATGATATTTCCAGTCCTTTCTTCTGCTAAGAAAGCTTTAAAGCCCAGGTGGTGGCACAGCCTGTAATCCCAACACTCTGGGGGTGGAGGCATGAGGTTTAGCTATAGAAAGAGTTTGAGGCCAGCCAGGGATACATAAGAAATGAAAGAACGAAGTATGTAGCTAGAGATGGAGATTCCTAGAAAGGAGACAGAGTAGCCAAGGGGAAGTCTTTCTGGGAGCCATGACATTTCACTACAGACAAGGCTGATGAGAGCAAACTGTCCATAATATCTGGGAAAGAATGTTCCAGGCTTGTCTACTTGCTGTTCAGCTATCCACACTTTTTGCCCACATGTTCACATCTTGATCCCTTCAACAATTTTATTCTTTCCCACACATTTATCCATCCATCTGTGCCTTGAGCTGTTAGGGACTAACCTTGCTGCTGTGGAGGAAAGGGTTAGAGACCTGCCCTTCTCAAAGACAGCTGCTGGGCAAGGTAATGGAGCGATGCAGAAAGGGTCCTAGGCTGTGGGCTGAGCTCCTCACAACCCAGGAAGCCTCGGCTGAGCTCTACAGTGCTCAGGAGGCCTGAGCCAAGAGTTAAGTACTGGATCTAAAGCTGGATGGTGGTGGCGCATGCCTTTAATCCCAGCACTCATGAGCAGGCAAATCTCTGAATTTGAGTCCAGCCTGCCAGCCTGATCTACAGAGCAAGTTTCAGAACAGCCAGGGCTACAGAGAGAAACTGTGCCTTGAAAAAACAAAACAATAAACAAACAAACAAACAAACAAACAAAAGAACCGGATCTCTCTGCTGAAGAAGAGGGAAAGGCTTTAAGCTGACTGCAGGCTCCGTGGAGCCTGGCTTCCATGAAATGCCATTTGTTTCCCAGGACACAGACTTCCTCCCACTCCAAGGCTTACGTGTTCCTCTATGCTTCCCTGATCTTCCTTGAATCTCCTGATACTTCATGAACCTCTCCCTTTCCTTCCCAGAAACCTTCTGCAGGCCTGGGAACGGCAGCAGCTGGAGGAGCGGCAGCAGGCTGAGATGCGCAGGGCGCGGGAGCACCAGGTGCAGCAGAAGGTGGCGCGGTGTCTGGCAGCCTACACGCCCAGAGGGAGCCGAGGGGCCTTGACCGCTCAGCGCAAACTAGAGGAGCTGAGGTAGGAGGGAGGCTGAGCTGGGCGGCAGGCTGCAGGACCCCACAGCGGGCGGGCCAGGCCCCTCAGCTGCATTTTACAAATGGAGATGCTGAGGCCCCTGGAGAAGAGGTGGGTGAATAGTAACCCCTTCAAATATTAGATTCTCAAATTCTGTGCACAGTCATGATTTCAAGTCTTATGTTTTGGTTTCTTGGGGCCAGACACGCCTATTATAAAAGTCCAGGATGTTTGGACATGGTGGCTCACACCTTTAATTCCAGCACTCTGGAGGCAGAGGCAGGTAGATTGCTGGGATTTGAGCTCAGCCTGGTCTAGTGAATCATAGGAAAGCCAGGGAGACCCTGTCTCAAAAATAAATTGTTGAGTGGCTGGAGAGATGGCTCAGTGGTTAAGAGTCTGCTGCCCTTACAAAGGTCCTGGGTTCAGTTCCTAGCACCCACATGGTAACTCACAACTGTCTGTCATTCCAGTTCCAGGGAATCCAACACCCTCTTCTTCTGGCCTCTGCAAACACTAGGCACACATATGGTACACTTATATACATGCAGGCTAAACACTCATACATATAAAATATACATATTTAAAATGTTGAAGATTTTAGAGATAGTTATGTGATAAATAGTCCCAGGGGCTCCCCTCCTGGAGACAGTATGCATGGCCAGCTGGGATAATGAGCTTCAATGTCTTTCCATGCTTTCGCTGCCCCCTTTTTGAGATAGGGTCTCTTATGTACCCCTGGTGGGCCTGGGAGCCATGCAGGTACACATGCAGGCCTGGCCGTCACAGAAATCCTTCCACTGTCTCCTAAGTACAGGGATTAAAGGTGTCACTCTGCCCAGCTCTTTCTCTTTTGCATCCTGGAGGCCCAGGCTGTCTTAGAACTCACTATCTAGACCAAGCTGGCCTTGAATATGTAGTAATCCTCCTGTGCCTGAGTGCTGGGATTAAGGCTTGTATCATTCCACCTAACTTAGACTATATTTCTAGGAAGCCACTTCACAAATCAGGCATTCTTCCTAATGGGCCATGAGTTAGGTAGTGCCAGTACCCACACAGTGCTACAGAGGCCTGAAGGAAGCCCTGCAGTTGTTTGGTTACTGTCTTAGGGTTGGCATTGCTGTGAAGAGACACCATGACCATGGCAACTCTTATAAAGGAAAATATTTAAGAGGGTGGCTTACAGTTCAAAGGTTTAGTCCATTATCGCCATGGCGGGACTTGGCGGCAGGTAGGCAGACATGGTTTTGGAGAAGTAGCTGACAGTTCTATATCTTGTGCAGACAACAGGAAGTGCACTGTCTCATTGGGCGTGGCTTGAGAACTCAAAGCCTGACTCCATAGTGATGTACTTCCTCCAAGACCACACCTACCCAACAAGGCCATCCCTCCTAATAGTGCCTCTCTCTTTGGGGACCATTTTCTTTCTTTTTAAAATATTTATTGTTTTTAATTGAGCTATACATTTTCCCCCACTCCGCTTCTTTCCTCCCCTCTCCCCTTCTACCCTCCCTTCTGCCCCGCGTGCTCCTGATTTACTCAGGAGATCCCGTCTTTTTCTCCTTCCTAGGCGGGTCCATATTTGTCTCTCTTAGGGCCATTTGCTTTATAGCCACCAGTTACCTGGCTACACTGGGTGCCTTAGTACTTGATCTTCAGTGACAGGACACACGGGAGTCCCTGCAAAGGCCCAACCTCATGCCATAGACAACGTGACTGAATACAGTCGTTTGAGCCCGTGACCTGACCACCTGTGGGCCCTCTCCAGGCCTGCTTTTCTTTGGCTCAGGAGATGTGGGAAGAGGGTTCTGGTGCTGCAGCACGGCACCAAGGACTTGGCAGGGCTCAGGTCACCTAAGCTGAGTCCGTCTTCTTGTGTCAATTTCATTTTTTAATTATTATTATTATTTTTACTTTGAGACAGGATCTCTCTATGTAGTCCTAGCTGCCTGGAACTTGCCGTGTAGAGCAGGCTGCCCTTAAACACAGAGAACCCCGTCTCAGCCTTCCTAGTGCTGGGATTAATGGAGTGTGCCACCGCACCGGGCTAGTTCAACCTTATAGATAACTCTATAGACAGAGTGTCTTTTAGGGACATGTGCTGCCTCGTTTCTCCTTATAAGGAGCTTTTTTGAACTCACAGACATCTGCCTGCCTCTGCCTCCCAAGTGCTGGATTAAAGGAGTGCACTACCACCGCCCAGCAACTTTTTTTTAAAGCGTGTCAGAGGACATCCTGCAGGAGCCCAGGTTCTCTCCTTTTACCATGCGGGTCCCAGAGACTGAACTCAGGCCCTCAGGCCGTCTTGCACTCCCCACCCATTTTTCTTTTGAGATAGGTCTCGTTCTGTAGTTCAGGCTGCTCTCAGATTTGTGGCAATCTGCCTGCCTCCGTCTCCCAGGAGCTGAGATGACAAGCACTTGTGCCACCATGCCCTGCTGGCATCTGTTCTTGAGTAAGCGGTAAGAATAAGGTCTGCTCTCCAGCCAACAGGTGCACGAGAGGAGTGCTAGACCCTTCTTCCTCCCTTTAGGGTGAAGGCACAGACCTTCCCTGCTAGTCCTCCAGCCTGGCTGGGACAAGTGCCACAAAGGAACGCTTTTCCCCCGTGAGGTGGTTCAGCTTTACAGCCAAGACTCGTTGCTTCCCAGCGGTGGTACCTACTGGCACCAGCTCTCTCTCTCTCTCTCTCTCTCTCTCTCTCTCTCTCTCTCTGTCCTTTTTCTCCCTCTCTTCTTTTGGTGTGGACTTTAAGACATGTACTTCCTTTCTGACGGTAATGACAGTAGATACCCAGCAAGAAGTACTGACGTACACGATTCACCCTGCTACTTAGAAGGATGAAGCAGGATAGCTTGCGGCCTGGAATTTGAGTCCAGCCTGGGCAATATAGCCAGATTGTCTCAAAGACAAAAAAAGCTTGGCATGTTGGTATATGCCTGTAATTCTAGTATTTGGGAGGCTGAGACAGGAGGATTGTGCTTCAGGTTAGTCTAGACTACAAAGTGCAATCCAGTCTCTAGAACCTGAATGAGTAGAAGCCTGGGGGACAGCTTAGCCAGCAAGGTGCTTACTGCATGAGGCCTGGCTGAATCCTTAGCACTCATGTTTTTTTTTTTTTTTTTTTTTTAATTAAAAAATAACAAAGTGAACCCAGGTGCAGCTGTGTGGCCCTACAGCCCCAGTGCTTGGCACGGAAGCTTGCTGACCGCCCCCAGTCTAGCCTAGGCGGTGAGCTCCAGCGTCGTGAGAGACCCTATCTAAAAAAGGAAGATGGCCTCCACAGTGGCACATGCCTTTAGTCCCAGCTCTTGGGAATGAGTTCCAGGTTAGCCTGGTTTACATAGTGAGGCCCTGTCTCAAAAAACAAAACCCCAAACTATACAAGAACAACAGCTCACAGGACATCAAGCAAAAGGCAGAGTTCTAATGCCTCCACACTTGTAACCTCTCAGTCTCTTCTTATTGGTGAAGGCTCTTCTTAGTCGGAGCTTGTGGTCCTGGCATGGTTTTCCTAGCAGATGTTGTTTTGTCATCCTCCAGTGAGGAAGCTCCCTGGCCTAGCACGGGAGGGCCTTCCCTGGGTGTCTGATGTACATACCTGAGAGCCTAGCACAAGTTTCAGGCCTTATCTGCTTATCCCTCTCATCCCATCTGTGGATTCTGCCACTCCATGCTGGGCACGTCCTATGTGCACTAACTGACAGATGTCTAGTCCTCTGAGGAGTGAGGTCAGAGGCAGTGTTAACACTGGGCTGGAGGAGCAGACTTGTAGTCTCAGCTAGCCCAGGTTGGTCTAGAACTATGTAGCAGACAGAATTTCATATCTTCCTACTCCTGTGTAGCAGGTCTTTCTTTGAACCACCAGCTCCTGAAGACAAGAGACTTCTTACTAATTATGAAAGCTTGGCCTTAGCTTAAGCTTGTTCCCAACTAGTTCTTAAAACTTAAAATAACTCATTTGTATTCATCTACACTCTGCCAGGTGGCTCGTTACCTCAGTACTGTGTGTCCAACTTCCTCTGCATCTGACTAGTGCCTCTCCCACCTCAGATTCTGTCCCAGAGTTCCCATCTCTGCCTAGAAGTCCCGCCTACCCTCTCCTGCCTAACTACTGGCCACTCCGCTCTTCATTAAACCAATCAGAAGGTGCCTTAGGCACAGACACATTTTCACACAGTGTTCATAAAGATTATCCCAACACTTCTGCCTGACGAATGCTGGAATTACGGGGTTGTGGGTCATACGGAAGGAAAAGGAGCTCTTGTCAAAGCACAGATATGGCAGTTAGAGGACAACTCTGGGCTCTGGAGCTTGAACGAAAGCTGCCAGCCCTAAGTGTGGCGAGTACAATGACCTGCTGCGCCATCTTAACATTCTCAGGCTGATTTTTGTAAACAGTAAGTTTTTCTCTCATGCAGCCCAGATCTTTTTTGTTTTTGATAGAATCACACTCTGCAATCCAGACTGGCCTGGAGCTTACTCTGTAGCCCAGATTAGCTCTGAGTTCAGGCAGTTCTACTGCTCGGCTTCCCAAATGTTAGACACCAGCTCTGGGAGATGCTCCTTTTGCACAATACTCTTCATCATTTCCTGACCTGCAAGAGGGGGAGAAAAGGGGTTGGAGGAGGCTGTGCAAGAAAGAGCTCAGAAGCCAGAACTGGTTCCCTCCTTGGCGGTGGCCAGAAGGTAGGGCAAGCCCCGGATGCACAACCTAAACTTGGGACAGGTGCTCAATCCTACAATCTTGGACAAGTTCATGTGACCTTCCTGAGCCATCAGTAAAATGGGGCAAATAAGTCCCACCCTAATAATCCTACCCACGAAATACAGGGCCAGAATGGGAATGGAATAGTTTTGTGAGCGTCAGGAGGAACCGTTATATTACTAAGCTCCAGTGAGAACCAGCAGCCTCTGGCCTGGGGTGTGTCCATGGGCAGCTACCCAGAGGCCCACCTTTCTTACAGGCGCAAGGAGCGACAGCGTTTTGCTGAGTACCAGGCAGAACTGCAAGGCATCCAGCACAGGGTGCAGGCCCGGCCCTTCCTGTTCCAGCAGGCCATGCAGGTGAGGGCTAACACCTGTGTAGGCAGACAGCCCCCTCCCTCGCTCCCCGAAAGGAGCTGCCTTGCAATGAAACAAAATTGGAGTGGGGCCCTGAGGATTCCCCCAGAAGACTTGGGACCCCCTTCTTAATGATCAGAGCCCCGCAGTGGCCCCAACAGCCTTGGTGAAGAAGAGGAACCTTTCTTTTCTCTTGTCAGACCAACGCCAGACTCACAGTGAATCGGCGCTTCTCCCAGGTGCTGTCAGCATTGGGAGTAGACGAGGAACAGCTGCTGGCAGAGGCAGGCAACGTGCAGGGCCTCTCTCAGAAACACAGGTGAGGCGGGACAGGGCAGCCACTCCAGCCGCTGGTCCTCCCAGTGTTCTCCATGTCACCCGGAAGGGGGGCCGAGGTTATTATTCCCACCTCCCAATGAGACCAGAGTAGGGCCTTACTCAGGACACAGGAACAAATGAGTCTTAAAGCTAGTCTGCAACCCTGAGCAAGAAGACGCCAAGCAGCTGGTGCCATACTGTCACCCGATACCGCCCCTGACACCTTAGAATAAATAATATGGTATAGAGCAGGAATTATAAGACTCAGTTTATGGTAAAACACAAAACAGTCCAAAATAACCCCGTGACTGCAGGAGGGATGTCACTTCCCAGAGACTCACAGCCACCAAGCAGAGGAGTTAGATTTGGACGCATGGGGTGAAAGACTGCACTGAGCATGGGGTAGGGCACTGTGGAGCCCATTGACCTCCATCTGTGTCTTTAAGGAGCCACCGGTCATTTGGAGTAGAAATGGATTCCTCTTCTCAGAGCCCTCCAAAGATAGAACCCACCAGCAGCCCACCTGGAAGGCTTCCCTCCCCGACCCTGGACCCAGAACACGGTCCCTGCGATAAAAATTAAATGCTTTATGGCAAGTACGGTGTGAGATTTCTGAGGAAAGTTGGCTATGCGTTGGGGGAGAGGTAGTGGCAAGTGGGTGGCCTCGTCTTAGCTATTTCCCACATCCGTTGGGAACCCTGGCTGCACCCTGTTCCTCAGCAAACACATGCTGTGTCTTTGCTACTGAGCAGTGGGACACCTGGAAAGGAATCGGTGAGACTTTCCCATGCTTTCTCCAATACACATATACCTGGGGACTAGAAATCCTAGTGAACAGGACCCTGCCTCTGAGGACGCCCGGTCTTGGAGCTTTATTTATTGATATCTTTTTGTTCTCTGAGATAGTTTTGGAGTGAAGCTTGCTTGCTTATTTATGTCTTTGTTTTCCGAGGAGCCTCTCCTGGAACTAGCTCTTGTAGACCAGGTTGGCCTTGAACTTACAGAGATCTGCCTGCCTCTGTCTCTGGAGTGCTGTGTATCGGCGTAAGTGCACCACCACTGCCCGGCTAGGAACAGCTTTAAAGGGGCACACAGACCACACCAAAACGTGCCGAGACGTGCGATACAGGAAGCCCCCAGAGGAACAACAACTATCAGAAGGGGTGTGTGAGCCCTGAACTTTAAAGTCCTCCTCAAGACCAAAACAAAGCAACCAAACCAAACAAAAAGACCAGGAAGAGAGAAAAGGCGGGAAAGCAAGACATGGTGGCTTGCGCTTGTAATCCTAGACTGGGGCCATAGTTAACTGGACAGCCTTAAAAAAAATACGGATGTGCCAAATTTGCACTCGAGCTCGGTGTGGGCGTGCACGCCTGAAATCCCAGGGACTCTCAGCACAAGGGAAGCTGAAACAGAGGGACTGTGGTGGGTTTGAGACCAGCTACCAGGCCAATCAGAGCTATACAGACCCTATCTTAGAAAGAAAAATGGGCCCGGGTAGAAGGCTGCTCACAACCATCTATAATGAGATCTGGTGCCCTCTTCTGGCCTGCAGGTAAACATGCAGACAGAACACGGTGTACACAATAAATCTTTAAAAACGAAAAATAAAAACTAGAAACAAAGCAACAACAACAAAACCCCACTCAGGCCGGGCGGTGGTGGCGCACGCCTTTAATCCCAGCACTCGGGAGGCAGAGGCAGGCGGATCTCTGTGAGTTCGAGGCCAGCCTGGTCTACAAGAGCTAGTTCCAGGACAGGAACCAAAAGCTACGGAGAAACCCTGTCTCGAAAAAAAAAAAAAAAAAAAAAAAAACCCACTCAGTTTCGTGGGGTTCACAGGCACAAATTCATAGAGCGTTCCTTAGCAGTCCAGAGAGCAGGTTAAAAAGGCCCAATCCACCAGCAATCCAGGGAACGAAGGACGACAGCAGTGCTCGCTGGCAATACTAGTTTATTAGGGTTGCAAGGCTGGGCCTTCGGAGCTGGTTTCTTTATGAAGATAACATGAGGTATCTTCCAGCACCGGATGCAACCTCGGCCCCGGAGCCTACTAGAAGGACAATCCTGGAGAGGGGCCGCCCACGGAGACTTAGAGGTACAGAACACGGGGGTAGCACGACAGAGAGGAAGCGGTTCCGGAGCCTCGGCAAGTGCACAAGCGCAGAGACCAATACCTGGCAGCCGGGAACGCGCCGTCTTAGGAGGTTCCAAGGCGGGCCCCGGAAGCAGCCGCTCTTAGTTTCCGGCAACAGGTCGGCGGCAGCCGCGCGACCCGGAAGTGTTCCCATTTTGCGTCGCCTGGGCTCGGGTGGCGGCCCGGCTCCAGACCGACGCGCTAATCATGGGGTCGTCAAAGAAGCACCGCGGAGAGAAGGAGGCGGCCGGCACGACGGCGGCGGCCGGTACCGGGAGCGCCACCGAGCAGCCGCCGCGGCATCGAGAGCATAAGAAACATAAGCACCGGAGCAGCGGCGGCGGCAGCAGCGGCGGCGAACGACGGAAGCGGAGCCGCGAGCGTGGGGGCGAGCGCGGGAGCGGGAGGCGCGGGGCCGAAGCCGAGGCCCGCGGCGGCGCCCACGGTCGCGAACGAAGTCAAGCGGAGCCCTCGGAGCGGCGCGTGAAGCGGGAGAAACGCGATGACGGCTACGAGGCCGGTGAGGGCGGGGCGGGGCAGGGTCTTGGGGTGCCCGGGACGGAGGGTGCAGGGTGACCCCGAGGGCCTTCTGCCTTTCGTGCTAAAGACTCCCTCTGGTTGTTGGGGATTAAAGACTGACTCCCCATGTTAAGCTTCGTGAAGATTTGTGTCTTCTGTGTTGGGTGGGTGCATGAGATACGAGCATGCACAGCGGCAAGGGAAACCTGACCGTGGGCGAATGTGTTGGGCTTGTGGTAGCGTCGTGAAGCAGTAAGATACGTCTGGGTCTGAACACCAAGGACCCTATGCTGTAAACACTGTTGAGAAATTTGCGCTTTGTGAAGATGGCAGGGAGCCGAGGGTTTGAGTAGGGAAGTGAGTTGATTTACTTTGTATGATTAAAAGGATCACTGAACTGAAAGCTTGTCACAAATAGTAGAGACTGAGAGATGAGGGAGGTCAGCCCAGCCAGGTGAGGATTATAGTGAGTATGCATGTTTCTCCATGCTGCGGGGTAGAGAGGAGTGGACAGATTGATATAGGTGTTTAGGACGTGGAATGAACTAAATTTAGTGCCTGGACCGAGGATGGGAGGGATGAGGATTAGGGAATGTCCCCTTGAGTTTTGACCTCATCGGCCTGCTGAATTGTGTGTGGTCGTCTGTTGAAATTGCATTTAGAAGGTTAGCAGATTTGAAGCAAGGGAGAATGGCACAGTTTCTGAGAGCTTTGTGGTTGGTGCACATGGGAAAACCTGCAGTTGAAGCGGGATAGAATGAATTTGGATCAGAGTGTATTCAGGAAAGCAAAGAAGTGCCCTCGAATGTGTGGAGGGGGAACTAGGGTCAGAAATAGGACTTGATAAATACCAGTAGCTCAGTTGTGGGGAAAGGATCATACTTAAAAAATAAAGAGTAGCCAAATGGGAGGAAAACTAAGCTGGGTCGTAGGACCTGTGCAAAGAGATAATTGCTGAAAAGATTGAGTGATTAACAGCGCCACACACCACAGGGCATTAAACAAAAACCTTTTAAACCATCATGTGTGGATCTGTACCTCGTGCATACTTGGTGCTTATGGAGGTCACAAGAGGGCATTAGGTCCCCTGAACTGAGTTAGGTTGTGAACTGCCATATAGATTCTGGGAACTAGACCTGGATCCTCTGTAAGAACCTCAAGTACTGTTATCCACTGAGCCATCTCTCCAGCCCCAAATTGAAACTTTTTGAAAATAATCTAATTGGAAAAAGGGAGATTTGGGACTTCCCGAGTCCATATAGAATATGGGATCCGGAGCCTAGGTGGAGGAGGAAGGCCCTGTTAGGTTTAAAGAACAGGAGATGAGCTGCAAGAAGTGAGGGGTAGGGGACTTGGATGTCTTGGTGGCATCTTCCTCTGTGTGATGTTTGTTGAAGTTCCCTCCTGTTGGTGGGGTGGTAGAGCAAGTCCAGAGGGCTTATTTACCTGTGTCTGCAACATCTGACCTGGAAGGCACCCTAGTCAGTATTCCTTGACTGCACATGCTGCTGTGAGCAGAGAGAGCTGTGCAGTTCAAGGTGGAGTTCTCATTCTGTCTGTAATTGAACACGGCTTCATGGAGCTGATGCTTGATCTTTTGATAGAATTTCCTGAGAACAAGAGCAGAGGGGACAGTGGAGGCTGAAGGTAGAGTACAGAGGTTTGGAGGGGCAGTGAAGGATGCAGAGGGTTGAACCACTTGGGTCAGAAAGAAAGGGAAGAGGCAGTGTTGCTAGACAGGGTAGCAGCTGCTGGGGATCTGGGGAAAGAAGGCTGCTGTTTTCTGGTGTCATCTACCCAGGTGCTGGTGAAGGGCCCTTGTCTTCGACCTTGCAGCTGGAGCCCTTGGTGTTGCTTCTTGGTCCCATGTTCATGGGTCCCTTAAGCCATCCTCCTTATTGTTCTAGCTGTCAGCTCCAAAACTAGCTCTGGAGATGCCTCATCACTTAGCATCGAGGAGACCAAGTAAGTAGCCCGTGTGCTGTCTGGTTTTCCTCTGAGAGCGGGTACACCCGGCACTGTCACCTACAGAAACCCTTGCACTGCAAATGGAGCCAGTTAGAGTTGGGGTAGCCGCATGAGTCAGTTAGCCAGCGTGGGAGCTACGGTGGAGGAAACTGAGACCCAAGAGGAAGGAGGGCCTTCCCCAATTAGGCATTCCCTGATCTGGAAGCCTGTGTCTTCACGCCTTAGGCTGCTGGGATTAGGGCCTCTGCTTGTCTCCCTAGGGACACTCATTCTTGCCTTGTTTTCACCTCCTGCCTATCCATAAATGCACTTGCTACCCATTTCTCAGGTAGACCCTAATATTTCTGTCTCTTGTCTTCAGTAAACTCCGTGCAAAGTTGGGGCTGAAACCCTTGGAGGTCAATGCTGTCAAGAAAGGTGAGTGTCGGGCTGAACTGGGGCATCTAAGTGGGAAGGAAGTGGGGCTTAGCATGCAGAGGCAACTTCATTTAGTAGCCTTCCGTATGTTTTGTCAGAGGGCCAAGACTTGTCCTTTGTGTCTTAGTGGGGAATCTGAGATATGTTTTTCTTGTGTGGTCTTGGTACCTTCACCCTGGCTTTAGGCAGGCTAAGGGACATGCACAGTTGCTGTAGGCTGTCTAAGTGGTGTTGGTTTGCTTTTATAAAAATAAGCATGCTCACCAAAAACCAAACTGACAGGAAAAGATCTGAGCAGCTTTGGAAGGCATAGAGGGGAGGTTCCTGTCACACTATGTGGAGTGACAGGGGGACAAGGGATGAGATAGGAATAGGGAGGTGAAAGTTCTTCCCCTCTCTTGGCCCCTTCTGGCCCCTGGGCTGGAAGGGGCAGGGTGAGTGGCTCCCTCCTCTCCCCACCAGCCATGGGCAAGCATAGCCTCACGTCTGGGCCCCCCTTCCAGAGGCGGGCACCAAGGAGGAGCCCGTGGCAGCTGATGTCA